TCTGTTACTCCCTGACTGTGGTCTCCTGCTCTTCCCCTCTGCTGTCCAGGCCCACCCAGGTCACCTTCTTCTCTGGCCTTGAACTGGCATGGCAGGTGTCTCTGACCAGCCTGGGCGCTGTGGTCAGTTGTCTCAAGGGCATTCTCCAGACTCTCAGGATTCTGGACGCTGTCCCTGAGCACCCCCTCTGTGGTGCTGTTTTGGGGCTGCACGTGATGTGTCCTGCCCCTGCTTTGAGAAGGGCCTGTTCTCTGCAGCCTCATCGGGGTTCTCAACACCTCATCATGTTGCACTGTTTGCATCACCTCTGGGCCCATCACGACTTTGTGACTCTTCCTTGGTCAGAAAAGTGCTTGATGAAGGACTGAGGAACTGTGCAGGGACTCTTGAAAGTTTATTTTTTAAAAAAGGGTAATTAGAAAAGGACAACTACTGTGATAGAGAAAGTCTGTTACAGAGAGCCTGACAGTCTAATGGCCTTTAAAAAAATAATGGCCTTTAAAAAATAAGGGTCGTTCGGGTTTTATGCGTTTCTCTAGTTCTGTTTGGTGAGTGCAAGTGTTTGTGGTGTTTGTACAGTGCAGTGTTACTGTTATATTTTGGCAAACACTCAGTACTCCTGGACCCACATCTTTATCCTCTGACTTTTTGGTAACTTGAGAAAAACGATACCATTTTACCTACTAAGCCTTTCGCCTGATACTCTAGCAAATAGAAGATACATTAGCATACAGTATGGAAATAAGTTTCTCTCCACATTTATGGATGAACAACTTAGTGGCTCAGATGGTAAAGAATCTGCCTGCAATGCAGGAGACCCAGGTTTGATCCCTGGGTTGGGAAGATTCCCTGGGGGAGGGCGTGACAACCCACACCAGTATTCTTGCCTGGAGAATTCCATGGACAGAGGAGCAGAGGTTCATGGCGTTGCAAAGAGTCCAACACAAGTGAATGACTAATGCACACAATTAATGCATAGTTTGACTTATCCTTTTTCTTTTTTACTTGTACCAAATTAGTGGCTAAACTGAGAATTAAATCAAATTTTGACTTTTTAACATTCTCTGATTAGTCATAAATTCCTGTTTATATTTGGCAGGATAATGATTAGTGAAATAATTTGAATTTTGTGACCCATTAAAATATTTTTTTTGTTCACTGTATTGAAAAAGTGACATTTGTGTTATGTCTCAATTTATTCTTTCATGGAAGGTTAGAAGCAAGAAAGCTTCTATGATGACTAAATCCCCCTTTTTAAAACTGTATATCAGTGACAGTGAGTGTTTCTTAAAGCTGTGATTATTTAAAATGGGCTGAAAACAGTGTTTTTTGGTGGGTTTGTGTGTGTGTATCAAACCAATTGGAAATTGTTTTTACTTTGAAAAATTACAGTAAAAAAGTAGTAAAACGTTTGTTAGTATTTCTCTATTACCCCGGTACAGTGATTAAGAAATGTTTGTTCATAAAATTGATGAAGTTTTTAAAGTCATGAAACAGACAATATTTTGACAGTTCATTACACATGGTTTCACTCATTAGTGTAGCAACTGCATTATTTGAAAGCTGTGTGACATGAAGCTGTCACAGGCTCTGAGGGTGGCAGATGGTGCCTCCCTTGTCCCGGGCCTATTGGGTGTCTCATCTCGCAGTTCGCTCTGCACTTCCAAGTAGAAGCCAAAGGTCCTGTCTCATGAGCTAATGTGAGTTGTTCTTAAGGACTTTATTCTTTCATGGCAGCACTGTTTGTTCCTTTTTCTTTTGCCTAATTGCCTTCCTTTCTCTGTCTGTTGCTGCCACTTTACAGTTTTTACAAAGACTTCTCTTGCCTGGAATATTATTATATTCTCCCAGCTGATTTTCCATTGCCCATTCCTTCCAATTTCTGCTTTTTTCTCAAGTATAAACTGCTTATGTGAATTCTTGCCCCAGATATTTTTATAGTTCTTTACTGCTTACAGACCATTGGATACACTGCTTCTCATGATTTGTCTTTCTTATATCTGAAGATCCTCCCCACCTTGGCTTCACCTGTCCATAACTAGTTCATATATTAAATAGCTGTGATGTTCCGACTCCTTTATAACAAGATACAAGTTAGCCTTTCTGATCCTGAATGAGTGGAGGAGAAATCTCATTCCCAATTCTTATCCTTCAGCTATTTCTATCACTTTTCTTCTGAGAGTTCCACGCTTGCCCTTACTGGGTTGGCTGGTGGCCATCTTCCTGTCTATTCATAATGTTTTTAGAAATGTCATGTCTGATAGTTTCCTTATGTTCTCTCTGTAATTATTTATACCCAGCAAATTCTTTGTGTTTATCATTGCTACCATTCTCTTTTTAACTTTTTTCCTTGAAATTTGGCCCTTTTGCAGATCCTATCAAAGCATTGAGGAAGCATTTTTATGCTGCCCTTCAGGTCTTCTTTATACGTCTTCTCATTGTACTTTGTATACTGCATTAATCTGGGCTTAGAAAACTGTTTACTCGTAACTATAATCATGTGTACATCATCTATACAAGACTTTTACATTTGTTCATGTGTTTGAGCTGAAAAGTTCTGTTCGATGATTGTGATCAATTTATAGCCTGAGAAACACAAGGATTGAGGAGTGACCCAGCATCTCCTAGCTGGGGGACAAATTCTCTCCAGGGTCAGCTGCCTCCCTTCCCATCCTGTTTTGTTGTCCTCTGTACTTACTGGTCAAGACTGCAGTTTCTCTGTGTACTGAAATATGCTTTAGTGATTTTAGTTAGCACTTTGAATTTATTATTTCATTTGATTTCCCCAGCATTTCTGTCAGTTAGGCAGGCCTGGCATTATTAATACTATTTTATAAATGATAATAATGGTGATGGCCAGTTTGCCAAACCAGTGATTTAAAGAACAGAAACAAGAGCAGGTCTTTCAGCCTATGCTGTTTTCATTGCCCTATGTACAAGATACATTGGAAAGTGAAATTTGTTTTTACTTTGGGGGGATTGAACCTGGGTCAGAAAGATACCCTGGAGAAGAGAATGGCAACCCACTCCAGTATTCTTGCCTGGAGACTTCCATGGACAGAGGAGCCTGGTGGGTTACAGTTCATAGAGACGCAAAGAGTCAGACACGACTGAGTGACTAACACTTCACTTCACTGAAACAATTCTCTGGTTGTGTTCTGTAAAATGTGAAATATTAAAATTAAATGGCAGCTGTTGTTTTAACTTAGCCTGAGTTTTGTGTGCCATGGCTCTACTAGTCTAAGGCTAAAGAGAATGAATCCCTTTATGGTATACTGTCAGAAATTTGTCACTGGAGGGAGAAATAAAACCAAAGGCCAGAAGATATGTTTTAGGTACAGGATCATTCTTTGTTACTCTCTGCCATTTGCTTGTCCTGCTCTCAAAGTGATTTTGACCAATCTTAGCCCATGGAGAGGGGATTGTTGGGAGGGGACATCAGCACTTGTGACACTTTCCTCGCCAGTGGGTGCAGTGTCTTGAGATAGCCTGTAGTTTTGCTTCGTAATCTGTACCCATTGTTTAATCAGTGACTTGATTGATTGTAGAACAGCTTTTCTACAGTGTCTTGAAAGAAAGTGAAAGTGAAGCTGCTCGGTTGTGTCTGACTCTTTGCGACCCCATGGACTATACCCTACCAGGCTCCTCCATCCATGGAATTTTCTAGGCAAGAATACTGGAGTGGGTTGCCATTTCCTTCTCCAGGGGATCTTCCCGACCCAGGGATTGAACCCGGGTCTCCCACATTGCAGGCAGACGCTTTACCATCTGAGCCACCAGAGATGCCCTTGAGGGCAGCCCTTGAGAGCATCTTGAGGGCATATGTTAACCAGCAGCAAGAAGCTCTAGTGCCGAGCAGTAGAGAGCAGAGCATCTGGAATCCCTTGTGATTGTAACAGTACTACAGTCCAGAACTTCCTTTAGTTGTGGGGTCTGCATGAACCCCTTGACTATGGTTTTCTTTGTGACCATGTGGTTCCTGGATGTCTGCATCTGAGTCCCTGTTGATGGAGCTGTGGGTGTGGAGTTGTATCAAGGAGATGATAAAGTGTACAGGTGGAGACTTTAGGTAGAATGAACCATGTTGCATTTCCTCATTTCTAAATACACAAGACAACAGTGTATCACAGGGAAGAGAGTAGTGTGGTGTAGTGAAGAAACAGGAAGTTGGGAATCAAAAGTTTGAATTCCTGCTGCACTGCTGACTTGCTCTCTGATCTCAGAAGTTACCCTCTTCTCAAATATACAGTAAACTCACTTGCTTGGGGCTGTTGTGAGGATATAATTAGAGGATATGGATGAGGATTCTGCACATGTAAGTGCTGTTCACATGTTGCTTATTTTAATGAATAGTGATTGCAATATGTTAGGTCCTTTAATGAAAAATATTTCAACTTCAACCTCCTGTCAACAATGTAGGCAGCACTGCCCTCTCCATTTGACACGCGGGGATCTGGGGTGAGGAGGGTCTTGGTGACTCTCTAGGGCCTGCTGAGCAATGGTTTCAGACATAAGCTCTGCTTATCCCTGGCTTTGCGCTGTGCTGTTGGAGAAGGAAATGGTAACCCACGCCAGTATTCTGGCTTGGAAAATCCTATGGACAGAGGAGCTTGGTGGGCTGCAGTCCACAGGGTTGCAAGAGTTGGACAGGACTTGGTGACTAAACCGCCACCACCACTGCACTGTGCTGTTACAAGGGGTCAGTAGTAGAGGAGTGTGAACTTCAACAACAACTTGCATATTGCTCTTAAGGAAGCAGTACTCTAGATTAGGAATCGGGAGGTACCGATGAGCACTATATTTCTGAATTATTTACGGGGAAAGTTACTTAAACATATTCTATTAAATACCTTTGAAACACATGGCTATGTTTCTTCTAAGGTTTCTGTGTAAAATGTTTTCTTGTGACTTTTTGTCAGAATTTTGAAAATCTCCTTTGAGGTGATCAAAATGTTTTATAAATCCTATTTTAATATTTTGTTCTTTTTTTTTTTTTTTAGTCATTCCTACACCGGTCAAGACTACAGTACACAGGGCAATGTTGGCAAGATTTCTTTAGATCAGATTGATTCGGTAAGCATCTCATCCTGTTAAACCTTTGGCAACAGAGAAAACAGATTTTCTTCAACCAAAGATTATTTTTAGGGTGGGGTGATGGAAGAGAATGTTATTTCATTGCTTGCCAATCATTTTTGAAATAAATCCCATGTGCTGTGCATATGACTTTTTGTCATTATAGGAAAACCAAACAATCAGAAAATTATTTGTAGTCTGATAAAAACAGTTTAATCAGTTTTCCCAAAGGAGGTTTATTTTAAGTAATGACACCTAAATAATATTTATGTGTTTACATTTAAACACCATATAATTTAGAAAAGGAGAAGTGGGGAGTACTAAGTATAGCTGTCTCCTTGGGCTGCTGTAACAGCAAACCACAGGCTGGGTACCTTGAACAACAGGATCTTATTTTCTCACAGTCGTGGAGGCGAGAGTTCATGATCAACCTATCAGCGAGTTCAGTTTCTTCTGAGGGCCTCTCTCCTTGGCTTCTGGGTGGCTGCCTCCTCCCTCTGTCTCTTCCTCTGCTAATCACCTTGGACCAGGGCCCCACCCCCATAATCTCATTTAACCTTGATTACCTCCTTACAGGTCCCAGCTCTAGATACAGCCACATTCAGAGATTGTGGGGTTAGGACTTAGCATATAAATTTGAGGAGGGTGCAGATTATTCCATGACACTAAGTATAGGTCTCATGTGGCCTCCAGAGTGGGCAGCTCATTTCAGCTTCACTTTGTGTCTCTGTAGGAGAATCAATGCATGTACACTCAACTATACTTTTATTGTATAGAATTTCACTTTAATGCACTGTAGGATTTCTGCATTACCCAAAAAAAGGAAACTAAGTCAACCATAAATAATCTTTGTTTAGACAATTACCAAATTAAATTAAAAGTACACTGAGGTTTTAATGCTTGGAAATAAGAGTTATAATGGTGAGTAGAGGGAGATTCTGAGCTTTTGGAGACCAAAATGAATAGATCATCTTCCTATTTGAGAAATTATAATCAAGTAGAAGTTGTTACAGTGAAAGACAAAGAAGCTGCCTGGTCAGGAAAGGGAGCAAAGTGAGACCCATCCCTGCTTACCTGCCAAGGAGCCCATGAGAGGTGGGAGTTAAGTCTCAGGAGGAGGATACTTGAGAAGGTGAGGGAGATGCAGCTGAGACCATAAATGAAAAAGGTTTTCTTTAATTGTTAATTTAACACATTTATTTGAATTTGCCTTTTGAGAGCCATTTCTCTTATTTTTGTGTTTACTTTTGGGTTATTTTAAAATTTCATCTGTGATTCACCAGTTGTACATTTGAACATTAATCCCAGGAAAATGAAATGTTAGATATACATGAAAACCCATGCACTCATTTATTTGAAATAACCCTAAACTGGATATGACCCAAATGTCCTTAAATGAGTGAATGAGTGAATGGTTAGACAAATGCTATTACATCCACACACTGAGGAGATATTACTCAGCAATAAAAAAGGAATGAGCTATTGATAGCTGCAATAATTTAGATGAATTTTGTAGGAATTATGCTGAGTAAAAAGCCACTCTCAAAGCTTTATATTATTCTATTTATGTAACGCTCTTGAAATGACAAAAGTTACAGAGGTGGAGAACAGCTTAGTGGTTGCCAAGGGTTTGGGAATGGTGGGGGGCAGGCTGCATAAGATGGAGGGTTATAAAAAGGGAGACAGGAGGGAACCTGGTGGTGGGGAATTCTTGAACCTACACGGGAAAAAGTTACATAGGGTTAATAAGTACACAGAAATGAGCACGTGAGTGTCACAGAAAATCTAAGACTAGTGGATTGTGTTAGTGTCAGTATCTTAGTGGTGACAATACACTACAGGTTTACAAGATATTACCTTTAGGGAAATTAGATACATGACATCTCTTTGTATTATTTCTTACAACTGCATGGGAATCTATAGTTATCTCAAAGGAGAAAGTTTAATTCAAAAAGAAAAAGAAATAGGCGAAATAAATGTTAATAATTTACTTCACCTAATATATCTAAAATATTATCATTTTGACATGTAATCAGTATAAAAATATTAATAAGAAAAACAATTCATCTGTAGTCACAGTGAGACAATAATAACTTCTTTATGGTTTTTGTTTTTATTCCAGTTAAACTGAATTTGCAGTTTGCAAATTCGATTGATTTTGTAACAGATATTGTGGGGATTGATAAATAACAAAATGTTTTTTTTTCTGTAGCTTTCTACCAAATCCTTCCCACCCTGCATGCGTCAGTTACATAAAGCCCTGCGGGAAAATCACCATCTCCGTCATGGGGGCCGCATGCAGTATGGCCTCTTCCTGAAAGGCATTGGCCTAACCTTGGAACAGGCATTGCAGTTCTGGAAGCAAGAATTTATCAGAGGGAAGATGGATCCAGACAAGGTAATTTTGGAAAATCTGAGCAGTAACTGAAATTTTAATTTGGTTTGAAGACTAAAAAATTTTTCAATATGCCCCTGAAATGTAGTTGAAATTCTGTAATTTCACTTAGGTAAAAGGAAACTCATGAATTAATCTAATATTTACTAAACAGAAGGTTGGGAAAGGTTGATTCAGTTCAAAGGGTAAGATTGAAACAGCCAATGTAAGATGTAAAGTAATGCTTGGATGAGGATGCTATACTTCTCTTTGGTAGGTGGACTGCCAGTATTGCTATACCTGTTCTGAGTTGTATTTCTGTAGGAATGCATGTGTATATGTAATACATACAGACATATATACATACATGCACATGTTATATTATTTTCAGAACTAGGAAATGCTGAGAGAAAAGAAAATGAAAACAGTTTAGAATGCATTTTATTGTGTTATGCAGAATCTTTCACAGGGAATTTGTTTTTTCCCTCAAACTTTAAAATTTGTTTTGTATTTGGGTATAGCCTATTAACAATGTTGTGGTAGTTTCAGATGAATAGCAGTGGGACTTTATCATACATATACATGTACCCATTTCCCCCCAACCTCCCTCCCACCCAGGCTGGCGGAGAACGCTGAGTAGACTTTTGTGTGCTATACAATAATCTTTGTTGGTTATCCATTTTGAAAATAGCAGTGTGTACATGACCTTTCCAAACTCCTTAACTATCCTTTCCCCCTGGCAACCATAAGTTCATTTTCTAAATCTTTCAGGGAATTTTTAGATAGATATTTATCACTGTAAACTTGATATCTTTGTTTTTTCTCATTTTAAAAACTGATACTATATTATGATCATTTTCTTAGGTGGTTGAATCATTTTTGAAAATATCATTTGTATTAGTTGCATGAAATCACTTCCTTTGAAAGTGATATAATCTGCTTAATCATTTGCCTGTTTTTGAACACTTGGTTGTATCCATTTGACTGTCGTAAATGTTATTGTAAACAATATCCTGTGCACATAAATCTCTGATTATAGTTCTGATTGTGTCGTCTATGTGAATTAATCAGGGGATCAGTTTACTTGATCAAAGACTATAGACAGTTTTAAAGTTTTGTTGAATTCTATCATGCTATTAAATGACTGGAAAGTCTATAAATTAGCCATTGTGAGAACTTTGCTCTGTCATTGACATCATTGTATCTTATTGAAAATGTTTTTTGATCTTTTTATTAGGAAGTTGATGTATTAAGTAGATAGGTGTGTTAGGGTTCTCCCAATTGTGTGCATGCATGCGTGTGTGTGTACACAAAAAGACAGGTGTTTAACAGCCCATGTGATTATGGAGGCGGAGTCCCCAAAGCCTGCAGGTAGCAGGCTGGAGAACCAAGAAGAAAGAGTTGGTGTTTCAGTTGAGTCTGAAGGCAGGAAAAAAATCCATGAGTGACTCACAGCCCTCAGACAGGAGGTGTGTGTGTATTAGTTGCTCAGTTGTGTTGCTCAGTTGTGTCCGACTCTTTGTGACCCCATGGACTGCAGCATGCCCAGCTTCCTTGTCCATCACCAACTCCTGGAGCTTACTCAAACTCATGTCCATCGAGTCAGTGATGCCATCCAACCGTCTCATCCTCTGTCATCCCCTTCTCCTCCTGCCTTCAGTCTTTCCCAGCATCAGGGTCTTTTCCAATGAGTCAGTTCTTCTCATCAGGTGGCCAAAGTATTGGAGTCTCAACTTCAACATCAGTCCTTCCAGTGAATATTCAGGGTTAATTTCCTTTAGGATTGACTGGTTGGATCTCCTTGCAGTCCAAGGGACTCTCAAGAGTCTTCTCCCAACACCACAGTTCAAAAGCATCAGTTCTCTGGTGCTCAGCTTTCTTTAGAGTCCAACTCTCACATCCATACATGACTACTGGAAAAACCATAGCTTTAACTGGACAGACCTTTGTTGGCAAAGTGATGTCTCTGCTTTTTAACATGCTGTCTAGGTTGGTCATAGCCTTTCTTCCAAGGAGCAAGCGTCTTTTAATTTCATGGCTGCAGTCACCATCTGCAGTGATTTTGGAGCCCAAGAAAACAAAGCCTGTCACTGTTTCCATTTTTTCCCCATCTGTTTGCCATGAAGTGATGGGACCAGATGATCTTAGTTTTCTGAATGTTGAGTTTTAAGCCAATGTTTTCACTCTCCTCTTTCACTTTCATCAAGGGGCTCTTTAGTTCTTCACTTTCTGCCATAAGGGTGGTGTCATCTGCATATCTGAGGTTATTGATATTTCTTCTGGCAATCTTGATTCCAGCTTGTGCTTCCTCCAGCCCAGCATTTCTCATGATGTACTCTGCATATAAGTTAAATAAGCAGGGTGACAATATACAGCCATGACGTACTCCTTTTCCTATTTGGAACCAGTCTGTCGTTTCATGTCCAGTTCTAACTGTTGCTTTCTGACCTGCATATAGGTTTCTCAAGAGGCAGGTCAGGTGGTCTGATATTCCCATCTCTTTCAGAACTTTCCCCAGTTTGTTGTGATCCACACAGTTTGTTAAGTCACTCAGTTGTGTACAACTCTTTGTGACCCCATGGACTGTAGCCCACCAGGCTTCCCTGTCTGTGGAATTCTCAGGCAGGATTACCAGAGTGGGTTGCCATTTGCTTCTCCTGGAAATCTTACTGACCCAGGGATCGAAGTTGGGTCTCCTGCATTGCAGGCAGATTCATTACCATCTGAGCCACTGGGAAGCAGGAAGGGATAACCTCTTACTTACGGGAGAGTTGGCCTTTTTGTTCTGTCCAGGCCTGGGCAGGATTGCATGAGGGCCCCACACTGGGGAGGCGTCTGCTCTGCTCAGTCCACTAGTTCAGATCTTAATCCCCTTTGGAAACACCCTCACAGACATATCCAGAGTAACATGGCCAGAGGTCTGGGGCCCATGATGGTCAAAAAATTAACCATCCCAGTAAGTAAGGATTTACGAGGTGGGGTTTTCAGTGAAGGGAGTGAAGTTGAGGTAGCTCTTTAGCCTGGTTTGTGCTCTAACTAAGTGGCGGAAAGAGGAGCTGAAAGAAGGTAGAGGCAGATCTGGGTACCAGGCCTTTGGCTTGTGCGTCTGTCTTGCGTCCCCCTCCACCCCCCAGCTTATGTGTGTATCTGGGATGGTCTCATATCAGGGCCATTAGTATTTACTTTTAAACCTATGTGTTTGAAAAAATTTTTCAAATGAGATTTTTATTTTAAAATATAGAAGTTTTCTTCAAAAATTATTGGAAAAGAAAAATCAATAATTTTTATCTTTCTAGATAATATGTAGCAGTGTGTACTTTTATTAGCTTATTACTGATTAGCAAATATATTATTTTGATGAAAATATTTTAAGGTACACGTATGATTTACTGTCTCTCTAGTGTTCTGTTGTTACAGTCTGTTGTAAATAAAAGTTCATGTTTTTCTCATTTATATCTTACATATTTTTGCAATGAAATTAATTTAGCATCTCTTTACAAAAATACTCCATTCAACTGTATTTACTTGTTAAATGGTACATACAATTAAAAATACTTTTTAGAGGTATAGAAAATTGATTCCTTAAAATACTGTTTATAGAGCACGGTTATGGAGGATATACTGGACATTTTGTATAGTGCTCTAATGAAAGGGCCTGACATTGAGCCCAGAAATGACTTGGAACATTGCTTCTGTTGGCTAGCTTGTTTCCTGACAGTGTGGGATGCTTCTGAGGTGATTCAGTCAGTCTCACCTGGACTGCTCCTTTCTGTGGTTTTCCAGGTGACCATACTTCTGATTGCTTTTTCTTCTGTTCATGCCTTCATTGTAACTTATTTGACATACGTTGGTTTGTGCGTCTGAGCAGAAATTATGGATACCTTACTGTTGCTCTTGGGGGAGCAGGAAGCAGTCAGCTTGTAGGTAGTAGGAACTGAACTGTGAAAGTATACTTGTGGCAGAGGTGATTCTGCAAATGCATGCTTTCACCCCCCAGCCCCCAACATGATTACTAAGAATAGAAGGATTAGTAGCCAGTAGGACCTGGTCTTGCTGGGTAAATGACTACCAACTGGGACCAGCTATGTAGGGTCTTGATAGTATAATTCAGAGATGCATAATTTCATAGCTTTCAACATTCACTAACATCGTATAATCAATTTGAGATGTTATAAAAGTTTACACAGAAAATAGTATGAACAAGGTTTCCACTTACATTCCTTCTTGGTTGAAATGAATTTCACTTTAAAGAATTTAAAGAATATGGATTTTAGATTGTATAGGCCAACACTGATTTTTTTAAAAGACTTTTGCTTTATAAGGTTTCAATCTATTTGGTAATAGAGTGACCTGAGAGAAGTAACCAGAACACATTACACAACACGGTGGTGAGAAGGAGCTTGTTGTTGAGGTTGCATGGAGGCAGGAAGTTATTAGAGAGGGTTGTGCTAGAGAAGATTTGGTGAGGTCAGTCTCACATCCAGGTTTGAAGGAGGTGATGGTGGTGCTCAGTTGAAAGAGAGGACAGGACATCAGTACACCGGCACAGGCCAGGCATTGCCTGCTCTTCCATTGTTTGTCGTTTTTCTACCATTATTTTATAATTCTTCCATTATTTGTTGCTGCTACTCATTCACCAGGTTTTAGTTTTGTCAGCTGGTTTGGGGGTTGTGATTTTTTGAATGTCTGCTTTCAGACTTCTGTATGGATTTGACCTGTCGGTATATTCAAGTATCATTTTTATTTGGATCCATATTATACTAGAGGGTAAGGAATTCTGGTATTAAAACATCAACCACTTCCAGAGAACATTCTGTTGTCATGAATGATCTTGTAGCAGACTAATTGCTTTAGGGTATAACTTACTCCCAAAGGATTAGTTTCATTATGTAGGATTTTTATATTTAATTTTTTAATTATATTGAGTGTGAATGTTTATGATATATTAAAATTTTAACAATAAAACTTCTTCAGTTACTCTTGTCAGTAGGGATCAGGGACGTGTGAAAATTGCACCTAGGTTT